AAAAAAAAAAAAAAAAAAAAGTGACTTTCAATGAAGTTTTAGGTGAGCAGGAGAAGAAAGTGTCATGACTCAGACTAATATAAAAATGTACTGACCTATCCATGTATGAATTTAATTTTCTGCTAACAAATTTGACTTTAAATAAAATTTGCTCAGAAATGATAAAGACTGGACAAATCATGATTCCCAGTACTACTGGTACTTCCTAAATCCTTTAGAAATATTCAGTATTCCTGTATTTTCATCTTTTATTGTACCCCCCCCCAGGCTTCACACATGCTAAGCAAACACTGTCTGTCCCCACTCCCTTTGGTATCATTCCCAATACAGTAATTAACCCTAAGTGCAGCTGGAATTCTGAATATTAAAGCAAATTCCCCATTACAAGGTGCGCCATGGCAGTTGTGCTGCCCTGAGTTGGAAGAAACTGTCAAAGAGCTGCAGCCTTTAGAAAGAGGAAGGGTAACAGTCAGCTAAGGACAGGTCGTGCGCAGATAGGAGCCTGGACCCTAGAGTACAACTGCTTGGTCTGGATCCGTCTACCCCAACCCTTCCGTGCCTATTTTCTCATGGGTGAGACAGGAATCAGAATAGTTCCTGTTTCTCACTATTAGCATGAAATAAATATAGACTAAATATCGAGAACTGTGCCTGAGACACAGGAGTACTATGTAAATTTCAGGTATCACAACTGCAATCATTATTAAAGACCTGTCTTTATCTACATAATAAGGCAGTTAAGTGAGAGAGGCTGAATCCTTCAGGCTCTACTGCATTCAGTCCACTGGGAAATGAAAGTTCTGTGTCACAATCAGGAGAATTTGGTTTGAAACGCAAATAATCTTTTACTCAGATAGTTTTAAGGACTCACATGATTACACTAATAATACGCTGATAACATTTAACACAAATTCAGATGTGAACAGTTTGACAAACTACATGAGAAAGAATCCTGTCCTCTACTTATAAAATGTCATCCAGGAAAAAATTTACCAAAATACAGCTACCCAAACTAGAAAACACGATAAGTAAACCTTACTACAACTGTGAAAGTTTCAACTAGTTTATCTAAATCTGTACGAGACTTTTCTTTTTAAAGACTTCATTATTCAAGAAAATTTCCGTCTTATACCAGGCAGTTACTAAGAAGAGTTGCACATACACGGCTCTCAGTGGAACTTCAAATTACAAACAAAATCTTTTGATTATAGTATAAAGTCACACCACATTACAGTTGCTTTTCTATTTTGCAATTTGGATGTCACATTCAGCTTTTACTATTTGGCCTTAAACTGACACACAGTGACCTACATCTGTGTGAGGATAACACCACCGAAGGCACAGGACCATCGTGGGGATTACAGCTGACTGGAGCGCATTTGCCGAAAGCAGCCACTGTGGAAGCAACCTGGTGCCGCCCGACTAAGTGGAAGGCTGGGGTCGACCCTTCACCACCCTGCCTCGAGAGCACATTCTTTTCTCTATGGCAGAGCTCTTACTTCCAGCCCATGTAACTTAAAAGTCCTTCTAAACACTAAGTTAACACGCAAGAAGAAAAGCCAGAAAATAGCCAGATAAATAAAGCCAAACTTAAAAAGAAAATAGCAATAGTGATAAAGGACACACAGTGCAGAAAAAAAAGTCCACATGCAAAGACAGAAAGTGACATACGAACGGCAACTTAGAGACCAGCTTTACGTCCATAGTTTGGATTCTTGAAATTATTAATAGGACTCTTGTAAATCGGATTTTCTTGCTAAAGTAAAAGAAACAGTTTCTAATGATTCGATCAGAAATAAAAGTGACATCTATAGTGTTTAAGCACTATAAAAGGGAATCTTTACTACTTCTACACTCACAAAATTCCCAATTTTTTAGAAACCCAAGCAAACTGTAGTAAATACAGATGACTCAACTTCACTTAGTTATAAATACTGAAGCTGTGAGTTCGAGACCAGCCTGGGACACACAGTGAGTTTCAGGGCAGTCTGAACTACATAGTGAGACCCTATCTCAAAAAAACAAAAGGTAAAACCGGGTATGTTGGTGCACGCCTGTAATCCCAGCAGCATTCAGGAGGCTGAGGCAGGAGGATCACTGTGAGTTCAAGACCAGCCTGAGATACATAGTGAGTTTCAGGGCAGTCTGAACTACATAGTGAGTCCCTGTCTCAAAAATTAATTAATTAATTAATTTTAAAAAATACTGAAGCTGAAATTGCCTTCTCGTATCAAAAGACGAATACAAGGGCCAGGAATTTAGCTCAGTGGTGCCACCGCCTGCCTAAGGGCCAAGGTCCCAAGTATGATCCCCAGTACCAAAAAAAGAAAAGATGAATACATGAGGACCAACCATTCTGCCACCCACCTCTGAGTCCTGATCTCAAAGCTTCCCTTATCAATGCTACCCTAAGCTTTCAGTCACATGAGCTTTTTTTAAAAAAAATTAAAGCACGTTTGAGATCTTCATTGAGTATAACACATCTTTTCTACACCATAAAGTTCAGTGAGTTTTCAAAGGCACAAACACACCTACAATGGATATCATCCCCAGACGTCCCCTGTGATGCCTTCCTGTCAGCCCTTTCCCCAACACCAGCCCCCAACAAGCACAGACGTCATTTCTGCGCCACAGCTGCAGCTTTTCCAGAATGTCATAAAAATGGAACCATATTGTGTGTAGCCTTTTGAATCTGGCTACTTTCCATGTAAGGCTTTTTAAGGGGGTGGGCTTGTAAATAGATTGCTACAGAGATAATGTTATTTAGGATTTTGTTTTCTATTAGACAGAAAATCACAAGAGCAGATGTAGGATCAAAACCATTATTAAAAGAACTAAAAATACTGGCCACTATAACCAGACCATACATTCTTATATTTTGTTTCAAAGGGTTATATTAAGGAACTTTTCTGGTTTTTGCTAAATATAACTTCTTTGAATAATGAACTTTTGGGGAATGTAATATCTAAGCATATATGTCAAAAGAAAAAATACAAAAGGCCACGGGTATATAAAAAATGTGAACATCACTAATCATCAGGGAAACAGAGACAAAAATGACGGATCTTACTGCTCATAAACAGTGTAATATTTATTTTAGAAATTACCTTACTTTTTTAGATGCTTTGCAACTTACCGTGTCCCATTTGGCATTCATTTTCTCCTTTTCAAATTTAGCGAATTCCCTTCTGTCATGAATTATCATTAAAAGCTTCCAGATCAGCAGTAACGCGAGGCCAATGAGGACGATGCCAGCAACCACACCAGCAACGATGGGAATGATGTCTGGGCCTGTGGGGCAGTCTGCAGAGCAGGAAGGCGGCAGTGAGCAGAGACGGAAATGTGCAGGGCCCAGGGCGGCCACAAAGAGCAGAGCAGCATCTCACCACAAATTTCAGAATGTCACTGACGACAGCGTCAAAAATCATCCAAACTTGTATAATTCTAACCCAATGCATGCAGGATTTTTACACACTAAAAGTTACTGAATAGTGATAAAATAAACTGAAGATCTGAATAAATACAGATTCTGTGTTCATGAATTAGAAGACTTAAACTGTCAATGTGTCAGTTCTCCTCAGTATGATTTCTAATTAAAATCCCAAAAGGATTTTTGTACAAACCAGCAAGCTAACTCTAAAACTGACATGCAAGCAGAGAAGCAGCTAGATATTGGCCTAAAAACGCAAACTGACCAAATAATGGAACAGAACGGGGAGCAGAAAGCACCTACAGGCCACTGATCTCTGACAATTCACGCCAGAGAAAGGATGGTCTCTCTAGTAAACACTGCTGAGAAAACAACATCCACGCACAGAGTGAAATTCGACACCTATATCTCACCACTTACACAGATCAATAAAATGGATTCAAGATTTAAATGTAAGACCTGAAAGTTCAGAACTACTAGGTAAAAAACATGGGGGACGTGCCTCAGGACACTCAAATGGCAAAGGATTTTTGGGGGGAAAGATCTCAAAAGGAGAGGAAACAAAAGCAAAATTAGACAAGATTACATCAAACTGAAAAGCTTCTACACAGCAAAGGAAGCAGTATTCGGCTGAGAGACGATTTTTAGAAGCAATACTCTAACATATGATCAAAAAATGTACTGAATTTTTTTTTTAATTTTAAATCCATTACAGTAAAAGACACATTGCCATTACTTCCCCTCAAAATGCTCCGCCTCACTCTGACTACAATTATCCCACTGTTCTTGCCATTCTTGGAGCTTCTGTGCGTCCTTTTGAATGAGCGCCTTTGGTTTTATTCACTGGGCCACCTAAATGTCCTCAATGGGTTAAAAATATTTAGCTTTCATGGTCAGAGCCAGAAGTCCACAGTTCCAGATCCACCTGAGGTGGACACAGGCGAACGGAAATGTCCTCACACAAGCCACCTTTGTGCTGGACGGCACCGGGCAGCAGCGTTCACCTCATTTTTTATCACATTCCACAAGGACCTCACAAAAGGGTGGCAAGAGGATGGGAAAGTGGGTTCAAAGAGAAGAGTATTTTATGGGAGAGTAATGGCAAGGTGTCTTTTACTGTAATAAATTTTTTAAAATTTAGACACAACCATATGTTTTAATCACCCCTTGTATATAAATAATGGGAGAAAATATCTGCAAACTATTTATCTGGCAAGGGGTCAGTATCTAGAATACATGAAGAACTCGCAAAACCCCGTAGCAAAAGAAAGCCCACAGACCTTTCTCGATTAACCGCAGTACAAAAAGAAAAAAATTCTGAACATCGCTAAGCATCAGGAAAGTGTGAATCAATACCACTACAAGATGTCACTTCACTCCAGTCACAACGGCTATCATCAAACCACAGAGACAGATGCACCACAGAAGAGGGACCGCTGGTATACTGTTGGTAGGACAGCTGTTACAGCCATTATGGAAAACACTTAAGGAGACTGCGCGATCAATTCAAAACGGGGACCAGTGTGCAGTTCGAAGTGCTCGCTTATTATGTCCACGTTCCTGGACTCAACCTCCATCACCACAAACATACTCTTCCCCACAGGTGAGAAGTGGAGTCGACTTAAGTGTCCACCCGGGATGAATGGGTAAAGAAAGTGCGATGCGTGGTATACGCACAACATAGTGGTGCTCGGACAGGGAGAGCTCTAGCTACCCACAGTGACTACAGACCCGTACCTTTCAGAAAGCTGCAAGAAAGTATTTTAGATGTTTCCACTGCAAGAAGTGATAAATGTGTGAGCATGTTCAACTTGATTTAAACACTGCTAAATGCCTTTGTATTCGAAACACCATTAACATGTGCACTTTTTTTGTTGTTATTTTGATGTAGCAAAGAAGATGTAAATTTGGCCTCAAACTCATGGCAATCCTCCTGTCTCAGCCCCTCTAGTGCTGAGATTACAGGTGTGTGCCATCTCACCCGGCAAGATATTTACTTAAATTTTTAAAAAGACTATTTATAAGTAAAAGGCAGTGCGGTGTAGCTAACGTAGAGACAGATTAGTGGGACAGACATGGGGTCAGAGAACAGCCCACATTACAAAAGGTCACCTGACTTTCAACAGAGGTGGAGGGAAAAAAGGCATCAACAAATGGTACTGGAACTATTAGACAGTCATGTGGCCAATAAACAAAACCCAAAGAGCCAGAAACTCCACACACTAAGATGAAGTCAAATTAACAAAGTAAATCTACAAAGTAAAACAGAAACTGTAAAACTTCCAGAAGAAAACACAGGAGAAAAATCTTTACAATTCTGAGTTAGGGAAAATGGTTTTTAACATACAATAAATAGTAAAATCAAGATCGAGAAAAGAAAACCTTGGTAAACTGCACTTTATCAAAATTAAAACTTCCAGGGCTTGGGGGATAGCTCAACAGCAGAGCACATGCCTAGCATGCACAAGGCTCTGAGTCTGATTCCTGGTGCCATGAAAATAAATAAACGAGGGCCGGGGATTTAGCTCAGAGGTTCCACCGCCTGCCTCGCAAGCACAAGGTCCTGAGTTCGATCCCCAGTACCAAAAAGTAAACAAACTAAGAAGATGAAAAGACAAGGAGGGACACACTGGGAGATAACTGTAAAATACCTTTCTGGCAACGTAAAACTGTACAGAGACTTTAAAGAACCATTTCTGACAAAGCTAAGCATATGCTCACTTTGTGCTCCATCTTGTTTGAAAACCTATACACTAATATGGAAAACTTCAAAAGATCTTTTCAAAAAGGCTATTAGAAAAACTAAGATAGGGGCCGGGGATTCAGTGCAGTGGCACTGCACCTGCCTCGAAATTGCAAGGTCCTGAGTTTGATCCCTGATACTGCAAAAACATAACAAAACAAAAATAACAGCAGAGCTGAGGTCAGTCTCTGGACAGCAGGCCTAGAGAGCAGCAGCGAGCCCAGGGGACCGCCACTGCCATCAGATTGCTACCTGGGGTCTCCACCACGTGCACGATGGCTTCGTTGTTGCCATTCACTGAGTAGGTGAAGTAGAACCAGCAGTCGTCCACGTCCTTCTCCTTGCAGTGGGACAGCGGGTCCACCTGGACCGGCTGGGGCAGCTTGTCCCGACTCTCCACCTTGGTCAGGTTGAAGTGGGAGCACTCCTCGGCGCACCTGTCCTTCTTCTCTCCTTTATTGAAGGCTCTGCACTGAACACACTCTCTGTGAAAACACCAAGTGTTCTGTTTAGAATGCACTCATCAGGGCCGGGGACAAAAGTGGAAACAAAACTTTTGTAAATGGGGAGGGGAAGAAGGGATCAAGGGAAGGTAAAAGAGTGGGGAAAAAAGGAGAATTGAGATGTTATGTACAGATACAAATTCCCTAGGACAAATGTGATCATTACATATGGCAAACATGTAGTAATAAAAGTTTTTTAGCCAGGCATGGCGGTGCACACCTATAATCCCAGCACTCAGGAGGCTGAGGCAAGAGGATCACTGTGAGTTTAAGACCAGCCTGGGACACATAGTGAATTCCAGATCAGTCTCAACTACATAGTGAGACCCAAGTTTTTTCTAAAACAACAACCAAAGTATTATTTAAGGCAAATTTTGCTTAAAGATTCTTTTGAGTGCTAAACTCATGACCATATGGAAGGCAGAGCAGTGAAAGAGGCACGCTACATTTCCGGTGGAAGATGCTGGTTTCTGACAGCTGCGGTCCCCCACTGCCAACACCGGCTGCACCTTTGCCCAGTCTGGCCAGCGGGGAAGGGCGAGAAGGTCCCAGCACACAGGAGGTGACGGATGGGCCATCAAAGGTGCCGCTCCACGGAGCGTGAGCAGCCCCGCCGTGACAGGCTGGCACCGTGGGGCTGGGTGACTTTGCGCCTACCAGGGTCCTCCCAACCTCAGGTTCCCAAAAGTTCCTTCCGGTGTCTGGGACAGGAAGTTGCTGGGGACTTAGAAGCACACCCCGCTCCCAGGCCTTTCTACAGACCCTGCCCAAACCGTGGGCAGCAGTGACGCCAAAGGCACTGCTGAGACTGTGCCTCACAATCCTCTAGGATGAGAGACACTTCGCATCACGCATCTTCCTGTTACTGGTGTTTCGGAGCATTAGCTATTTCTTTTTCTATGGAGTCAGAAAGTACCTACGTGTAGGAGCGTGAATGGAAAATTTAGGCACAGAAATCAGCTATTGATTACTTCCCCATTTTCATTTGTGTGTTAATTCTTCAAGAATTTTTTTCTCCTGGTATCAGGGATCAAACTTAGAGGAACTGTGCCACTGAGCTACCTCCCTGGCCCATGTGTGTTTGTGTGTTAATTCCTTTTTTTTTTGGTACCGGAGATCAAACTCAGGTCCTTGAGCTTGGGAGGCGGGAGGCAGGAGGCAGCACCAGTGAGCTAAAATTTGGTTTTTTTCCTTTTTTTTTTGGTACCGCGGAGATCAATCAGGTCCTTGAGCTTGGGAGGCGGGAGGCAGGAGGCAGCACCAGTGAGCTAAATCCCTGCCCTGTATTAATTCGTAACAAAAACACAGGAACAGTCAAAACATTTCAGTGAACAAAATTTTAGCCATCCAACTTTATAATCAATTTAAATAAATCTAATAAAGTTTGCTGGACAATGCCAGCATTTGGATCATTTTGAAACAACTGAGTTCTTTGTTGATGGCCAAAAGAAGCACTAGTTCCCCAAATTAAATTATAGTTCAAATTAAAGCCCCAATAAAGGTAATAAAACTGGCCCTATCACATATGAAATGAAGCATAAGCTATAATTTAAATAATGTATTACTGGTACAATAACAATTCAAAAAGAAGAAAACAACCTTCCGTTCTTCTGAGTCAAAAGACAGCAATGGGGCCAGGGTGAGGCTTAGCAGTAGGAAGCCTACACCACACCACATGCACAGGTCCTGTTCAACCCCAGCACCAAAAGAATAAAAGCAGGAATTCCAATGTAACGAAATTGGAATTCAATTTCAATTATGAAGCACAGTAGATGAAAACAGTGCAACTCTCAGATGATGTATTTTTTGTTTGTTTTTTTTTTGAGACAGGGTCTCACTCTGTAGTTCAGGTTAACCCCAAATTCACTATGTAACCCAGGCTGGCCTCAAACTAATGGTGATCCTCCTGCCTCTGCCTCCCTAGCGGTGGGATGACATATGACATATTTAGTATCATGCATTATACATTACCTATTGAGAGAGGATTTTTTTCAGGAATAAAGAATGGGTTTCTTTGGGTCCAATATTTGACTTACAGTGTAGTCAGCTATCACCTGTTCTGGTCACCCCCTTCTATTTACGGGGTAATAACTGTTGGGTGTCCTGGTAACGGCAGCACTTGGGTCAGCAGAGGGAGGGAATCACGTTAAGCTACCAGGAAGCACGCACTTGTGCTCGGCACAGACTCCCAGGCAGGTCTGGCACGTCTCGCATGTCTGCCCCTGAAACTTGGGGTCCGTGCACTTGCACACGCCGCACTCGCACACGCCCCGGCCGTTGCAGATCTGCCCGTTGGAGGCCACACACGGGGCGGTGTCCAGAGAGCAGTCGCAGGCGCTGCCGGTGTAGTTGGGGTAGCACTCACACACGCGACACCGGCACACGCCATTGCCTGCAACGCAAAACATGAGCTCTCAAAAGAAGGGAAAGACACAAAACCAACAGCCTAGACTCGGGAGCAAGAGTCAGCATCCACCCAGAGGAATCCCGCTTCTCCGCTCACTCACGGAGGCAGCACGCAAGATGCCGCGCCTTCGCCCTCCTCACCTCCGCAAATCAAGCCATTGGACCGGTCGCAGTTGAAGTTGTCGCACTCGCAGAACTTGCCGGAGTAAATCTCGTTGGTGTTGTCCCTCTTCCTGCAGAAGCACTGCCCGCAGACGCACTCCCCGTTGTTGCTGCAGATCTCGGAGCTGTTCTCCTTCCTGCAGTAGGCGTCCATGTCCTCGCTGTTCACCTCGTCCGTGCTGCACTCGCAGTGCCTGCCGACGCGGCCGTCGTTGCACCTGAGGAGCATCCCGGGACGGCAAGGTGTCAGTGCCCTTCCGGGAACGCGTCCCGGAGAGGAGACAAAACGGCGACGAGCAGTCTCTTCACGCCACCCACGCAGCCGGCAGGACCGTGCGAGTCACACAGCGGAGAGGTGCGCACGCAGGGAAAGCAGCATCTGTCCCCACCGAACCCCGGCAAAGGCCTTGGGAAAAACGCCTCCTCGGAGAGTAACCGCTTTGATCAAAATGAAAATCTAATCCAGCAATGAACAGGTGAACTAAACTAGAAAAACTGAATTTACTTTATTTATTTTGACACAGGGTCTTACTACATAGTCCATTCTGACCTTGAAATTCCCAGTGTAGCCCAGGGTGGCCTCAACTTCATGACCCTCTTGCCTCAGCCTCCCAAGTACTGGGATTACGTGCCTGGCTACACAATACACTTACTTTAAAAGAGAATGTGGAGGTACATTTTCAAAAGATGTAGTATTATTTTTCTATTATGGGTGAATTACAACTAAATTTTCAAGAGGTGGTCCAACTGTGAACATTAAAAAGCAGGTCCTAAGAAGTGCAGAGAAGCTGAAAAGAATACGCTGAGTACAGCAAGTGAAAACATAACTAACACATTGTTTAAAAATATCCCATAGGGCCGGGGATTTAGCTCAGCGGTCGGTGGCCTGCCTTGCAAGCACAAGGACCCAAGTTCAATCCCCAGTACCAAAAAAAAAAAAAAATGTATGTATGTGTGTATGTGTGTGTGTGTGTGTGTGTGTGTGTGTGTGTGTGTATATATATATATATATCTCCCATAGGTTCAGAATTTTCAGATACCCTATAAATCTTCAGAATAATCAATGTTCATGAACACTGGGTATTCTGATTCTGTAAGTGGTAAAAAACAGGAAGAAAGCCAAAGAATTTTCAAGATAATCTTTTTTGGTTAAATGATTTCACTAAAAATAGATTTTCGTGATTCAAACAGGATATATATGACATGGAAATTAAACGAACTGCCATTTAGAATGGACAATAGTTTGATAGTGAACTATGGCTGTGCATTTTTCTTATGGCTCATAACCTTGTTAAGCAGTCAGCAGGGGCTGATATTTATGGCAAAATGTCCTTTGCTTGGGCCAGAGATTTAGCTTAGTGGCACTGAGCCTGCCTCGCAAGCACAAGGTCCTGAGTTTGATCCCCGGTACCAAAAAAAAACCCCCAAAACACAGAATGTCCTTTTCTCTTTCTACTCCTTTAAGGAGAAATCCACATTCAAAGTACATTTAGTTTTAATTTTTGCTTTAAAAAATAATCAGTGGGTGTGGTGCTACACGCTTGTAATCTCCCATGGCTCTGACAGGCAGAGGCGGGAGGACCACAAGTTCGAGTTCAGCTTGGGCAACTTAGCTACTTAGCAAGATCCTGTTTCAAAAATTACAAATAAACATGAAAATCTTTTTCATGGATGTAGCTCAGTGTAACAATCTAGGGTTTAATCCCCAGAACTGGAAAAGGGGAGAAAAAAAGCCATGTGAAATACCTTTAATTTGGTTGATAGTCTACATTCTGAAAAACCCATTTTCTCCTTTTAATTTACAACATATTCTTTTTTAAAAAAAATTGCTCCAACCATGCAGAATTCATGGAGTACGGGGTAAACATCCTTTACTGCTTCCTAATTCTACTTTTCAGATTAAAAAAAAAATCACTATTATCAGTTTGACACCATTTTCCAAACCCTTTCCTGTACACATTCTTTGTGTAGGCCTATTTGTTCTGCCTAGAAAATGGAGAACGGTCCCAGGAGGGGAGAAGCCCAGATGCCACCTGGACATCAGCTGAACAGAGCTTCGAGTCGGCGAGCTTCGTTCATTTCCGAGCGGGGAGGACAGGACCCGGCTCCTCCCTCGGGGGCACAGCCCACGCACCTGCAGGCACCGCACTCGAACGTCCCGTTGCCGTCGTGGCACTTGGGGCTGTCGGCGACGCCTTCGCTCTGGCACTCGCACTCGCAGATGAACTGGAGCACGACCTCCACCTCCTCCGTGAAGCCCAGGGGCTTGATTTTAATGGTTTCTGATTTCTTATTCGGACATTTGTTTGCAGTGATGCTAATTTCAAACTGAACCTTGAAGGAGAAAAAAAAACAACTAGATTAATTTAGCCATGAATAGAAGTCTCAAAAAGCTACTCATTTCCTTTTTCTTTTGGTGCCGGGGATCAAACTCAGGTCCTGGCGTTTGTGAAGCAGGCGGCAGAACCACTGAGCATTCTTTAAATCCCCGGTCCCTTTTTTCTTTTAATGTTTCCCAAATTAGAAAGCAAGTTTTACTATGGATAAGCAATCTCTCTTCTACAGAGGACGCTTTCACAACATACCTCATCTCCAATGGAAATATTGGAACACTTTCTTCCATGTTCCCCTGTTCTGTTCACCCCGTTCTTGCAGTAGGATTTGTAATTTATAGTTACTCCTTCTGGCAATTTGCTGTTTTCCAAAATGACCTCTGAAGAAAGGGACTAAAAGAAAGATAAAATAGGAACAGGTGAGTCAAATAAAATAGTATCTGCACAAAACCAATGGATAACAAAAGACTGTTTAGAAATAAAATCATTTCAATAAAAACATGGGGCTGGGGATTTAGCATGGCAAGCTGCGGGGGAGAGAAGTTTACTCTCTGTGAGCTGGGCGCCCTCGGCCAGCGCTGTTGGAGCTGAACCTACTCAGCGTACTCACGTTGTACGCGTCGAGGATCAGGTGAATGACATTGCTCGAGTTGGCAGACAATGTTCCGACCGCGGACTTAGGGATCAAGTTTTTCAGCTCCTGCAATGACAAGGTAAAACGTATAAAAGACAGCAGTAGTCACTGAACCGGTTAGAATCCGCTGGGCAAGTGACATTCATCTTGAAGTATCAGTTCCTGCTCATTTCCTAAACTTTAAGCCTCAAACTTGAAAAAGACAACTAGTTTAACGATGTATGATTAAAAATTGTACAAAGCTCTTGCCAAGTCCTGTCTGCCCACCCGGTAGCATTTCCCTACACTCAGTTCACGCATAGAATTCTGCCTCTAATAACAAAACAAAAAAGGTGTTAGAACTTTTGGCCTCGTGTATATTTACCTTGTAAACAGGCTGAAATTCTTCAGTAACTGCGAAAATCGTCTGAATGTTATTTTCACTGAGTTTCTGGACGAGATGAGCGATCGAGGGGTAATCCTGAGAAATTAAGTGACACGACTAAGTACGGAGCACACCCTTCCTGTACCGCTGCCTTCCCATACTTCTCAAAAATAATGATTTGCATATATAACTGGATAACTCACACTGACATGCTTTCAGGCAAGAGTGTAAAATGCAAAGAATCACTAGTGTTTATATGCCAGTTTCTAATCTTCTCTGCTTTTCTGTATGAGAAAAAAATTTCTCTATTAAAAGTCTTAAAAAAAGAGCTGGGCGTGGTGGGACACAACTGTAATCCCAGCACTGGGGAGGCTGAGGCAGTAGGATCGTTGTGAGTTCAAGACCAGCCTAGGCTACATAGTGAGTTCCAGGTCAGTCTCAACTACATAGTGAGACCCTGTCTCAAAACCCAAAAAAAAAAAAACAACAACAACAACAAAAACCTTAAATAATAAAATAATCTATATACAATAAATATACAGACAATGAAGCTGAACAAGTCCAAGTAAAGGTTCTATGATCTACCACTTAAGAAAAAAAGATCAAGGAAGCCAGCCGTGGGGGCCCAGCACTCAGGAGGCTGAGGCAGGAGGATCAAAGCCAGCCTGGGCTCCATAGTAAGTTCAAGGCCAGCCTGAACTACACAGCAAGACCCTTTCTCAAAAGAAAAGATCCACCAACATTTGGAAGTTTTCGAGACCTTGAGTACTTTGTCGATCTTTATTTTCAGTAAAGGTGGGTATGTTTAAAACTCATGTAGGGCCAGGGATTTAGCTCAGTGGTTCCACCGCCTCCCTCGCAAGTGCAAGGACCCGAGTTCAATCCCCGTACAAACAAACAAACAAACAAAAAAACTCATGTAAAATAAGGCAAAGAAATAAAATTAGATGCCTCATTTGTCTAGAAATACTAGCAACTGTGCTACTAAGTGGTGTATAGAAGTGAAAGGAGACAGCTACGGGCTGGGGCAGAAGCAGTGCCCACCGGCCAGCCCTTGTCTAAGTGCAGGAAGCAAGCACACAGCTGCTTCATCCCAAACCGCGAGACCAGCGTTCCTGACCACTGGTGAGGAGCGCTCTTGTCAAAACAACAGGACCCCAAACCCTGACACCCACGAAGGAGCAGTCACCAAGCTGAGGGGGCTCAGGCACTTACGTAATAATGGCTCATGGTGTACACGTTGTTCTCCAGGTGACACTGGCCATCATTGGGTAAAACAATGCCACCAAGTTTCCCGTCTCCGGCGAAGTGGAAGCCGGCGTCCGTGGAGAACACCAGCAGCCGTGTGACATTCCTCCAGCCAATCAAGGACTTGCAGAGAAAGAGAATCAATTTCAGAAAGCCACGCGCAGATTCGGCACAGCGTTTGATTTCATGCAGGCTACCACTGCGGGCCAACCTCATTCCGTACCCGTGCTTCACACAATGTTAATACACTCGCTGAGAAGCACGGAGAGCCCAGTGAGTGAGGCTCCTCTGCTCCACCACACAGCTATTTCCTGCCAAGTTTTCAGTGTCTCAGCTCTAAGAATTTTGGTTCTGGGGCCGGGGATTCAGCTCACCTGCCTTGCAAGCGCAAGGACCCGAGTTCAATCCCAGGTACCCCCCGAAAATAATAAAAATAAAAATTCCGGTTGTACGCTACAGCAGTTGGCAGAGCCTTCCTGGAAAGGCTGGGTGAGCGTGTGCTGTGGACCCGCCCTCTGGGACCTGCCGCTGTGTCCTGTCTCCTCCCGCCACCCACCTTCGCTCTGCCTCCCACCAGACCTCGCGTCAGCATCATGGAGAAAAGTCACCCGAACACTTCCCTGCCTAATTCTACCGCTCCTACTCATCAGTCCGAGCTGCCGGTTTGCTCACTCGCCCATCCTCCACCTTACTTAGGGAGGGATTCAAAGTATCAGTAAAATCTTCTGCTACTTTGTAATCACATCCGTCTATATTTAAACTGACTCAAAACATCTGTGTTTATAAATTCCTTGAAGGAGAGAATTAAGTTTAGGGAGAATTAAGTTTTGACAATCTGTCAAAAGGGGGCTGTCTGCCTCTTTTGCCTCTAGAGAGGAGCACTGAGAACTGCAGAGAAGCCCATGACTGTGTCCCAGGCTGCCGCACCCACCAGCTGAGGGAAGGGCAGAGGCAGCCGGGGGCAGGCTCTCCCCCAGCGATCACAAATAAATGGCTGTGATGAAAAGAAACATCAAGCCCAGCACTGCCCGGAAGCTCTATTTCCTCAGTGTTAAAAGCTGGGGCTAACCTTAAACTGAGAACACTCTAGAGAAATCAAGAAGTAGTGAGACAGCAGTTAATATCTGGTGAGTGCTTGTCCTACTTTTTATAACTGTACTGAAATCTCACGATACAGCTATGAGTTACATATTAGTATCATCCTTTAAAAAGAGAAGGTAATGGCCTGAGAGAGGCTAAATAAATCCCAAGGAACAGGGGCATGGGAAAATTTTAACTACTACATTAACTACCACACTGCTTCACTTCCTATCCTGTATACCTAAGGAGGAAGAAATGAGACCAGAGTAGGTATTCCAGACACACTTTATCTGCAGCTCAGCTTCAATTACAGCCTTAAAAACTTTGCCAGGGTGGGCGTCGTGGTGCACGCCTGTAATCCCAACACTCGGGAAGCTGAGGCAGGAGGATCTCTGTGAGTTCAAGACCAGCCTGAGCTACATAATGAGTTCCAGGTCAGTCTCAACTACATAGTGAGAGCCTGTCTCAAAAAAAAAAAAAAAAAAAAAAAAAAACTTTGCACAAAAAAAAAAAAAAAAAAGCTTTGCTACTTTCAGCCTGTTATCCTCGTGAAAAGGTCATCACAAAATCAGCTAGTACCTGGATTACTGAAAATCTTGCCTAGAAAAAAACCAAATACTTCTCAAAACATACGCTGTCGTATAGCTTACAAACTAGGGCTTACAATGTTCCTTCTTTTTGAATCACACAGCATCTCTGAAAGAAAAGGCAACTGACTGCAGGAAGATGATGTAAGGCCACCTGGGCACTTTCCAGGCTGCCGGTGAAGGCTCTGATACCGATCACTCCTCTTCCGGTACAACCCAGTAAGTCTGAACACCCAGGACACCAGCCACAGCCCCGCTGCACGCCCTGCCTCCTCTGATCGTTGGCACTCTGGTGTCTGAAACTACTAACGAAAGAACTGCCTGTTTCAACAGGGACGTCACAGTGAAACACTTGTTAAAGCACTTGCATTTGGAGGGAATTTAAGGGATTAATACCTACTTCTCAGGGGCAAACCAGTGATAGGGTAATTAAGTTCATTCTTGCTACTAAGTGATAGTAAAATCACACATAAAACACCCAAAAATTAAGCACAAGGCTCTGAGTTTGAGCCCTTGGACCAGTGAGCCCTTGGACCAGAAAAACAACAACAACAACAACAACAAACAGGCTGAAACACCCCAAAATTATAAATACCCTAGAGGAAACAGGCACCCTTACCCCACAAACCGCCACTTGCATGATTGCGTCAAAACCGCCTTCTGGAGAGTCCAAATTCCCAGATATGCGCTGTTTACCAACAAGCTCGTTGAACACTTCTCCCTTGTCGGTAAGACTGAGCACGTTTTTGTAGCTGAAGGGACTGGTACAGTTCTGCTCGCTCGTGCATGGGTTCCTGAGCTTGGCTGGGGTTGTACTAATGTAAGGCATCACCGTTTTCTCCACAAACGAGCCGAAGCCTAAGGAAAAAAAGCACATGGTCAGAGAGAGACAGAAAGATAAACTTGAATTTCTTGAAAAAGTCAAGCATGTTTTCAAATAGAAATTGTTACAGACAAAAATCTGTACCCCCAACCCCCAAATTCTCACATTGAAACCCAGTCCCTTCGGGAGGTAGTCAGACCGTGAAGGGAGAGCCCTGGGAACAGCAATGTCTCCCCACCGTGCAAGGACACTTCTGAGGCATTGACCAGGAGCCACACGTGGGTGCAGCAGACGTGAACCGGCCGTGACCACCAACAGCCCAGCCTCTCACACGGTGCGTGATCAGTTTCTGCCGGTTCTGCACTGTCCGGTTTGTGATGTTTTTTCAAAGCAGACCAAAGAGACTAAGAATAGGTCTACTTTAAAAATAACCCACATTCATTAGCTTAGCACCATGTCTCTCAACTGTGGCAGGACGAATGAGTGAGTGAGGAGTGAATGAATATATGTACACACGTTCTGGATTTCTGACTGCTTCAAAAAAGCTTAGTAGGGGCTGGGGATGTAGCTCAGTGGCACCATGCCGCCAAGTGCAGGGTCCTGAGCTCGATCCCTGGCACCAAAAAAAAAAATAAATAAACAGCTTTAGTAAAAGCTTCTAATTTCCTTCGTCAGTTATGTTTACAAAACAAAAAGGCATTTTTAGCAAGTGCTCTTCTTTAAAACAGAGCTAATTTGTCCACCGGGGACTTAGCTCAGTGGTGCTGCCACCGGCCTTACAAGCGCAAGGTCCCAAGTTCCATCCCCGGTACCAAAAAACAAAAACAAAAACACAGCTAATTTGTAAAAGGCAATTTTTAGGCCTCAAGGAGGCTGTTGTGTCTTTCCAATGTTCTGTTGTTAACCCTCTGCTGGACCAGGAAGGGGAAGAAGGCAGAAGAGGGGTTCAGCTGGGGATGTGTGAAATGGGGAAAATAAAGCTTAAAGCTAAAAGTTAAAATCATTATAGTAAGAAAAACCCAGATAAGCGACATTAAGCTGTACAAGAAGGATGATCATCCTAATTAGTATGAAGTAAGAGTCTGGGCTACGCAATGCATTTATAAAATAAACCAACAGATGAAGGGGTAGATTCCCGTAAAGACAAGCATGGATTTCTTTATCTATAAGCACATCTGTGTCAAATTACATGGTCGCACACCATGTCCAAAGGAGGAGGACGAGCAGAGAGAATACTGTACATGTGATAAAAGTCAGTTTCCTCTCAGAAGGAAAAGACTGAAACCTGGCGTTCCATCACATGTAAGCTGTGAGGACCAAGGGAGAGGGCCGGAGATTTGGCTCAGTGGTTCTGCCGCCTGCCTCACAAGCGCGAGGGCCTGAGTTCGATCCCCGCTACCAAAGAAAGAAAGAAAGGAGAAAGACATAAAAGGCCTTCAAGATCTGACAAGACTTATCCACATGAAAAGTAGGAATTTTCCCAACACTCCTACCGATTCGGAAGTCGGAAGTAATCCCCCTCATCTTAGTCATCAGATCTGTTCCCAGACTTTTCACATTCTCCAAGTCATCTTTCATGGAGTAAGAGAGGTCCATAAGGTAGTAGAGATCGATGGGGTAGTCCTCAGCCCTCTTGAATTTTAATGTAAACCTCTGCGGCTCTCCTAATTAAACAGAAGTTAGAAGAAAGAAAATTAGCCAATCCACAACTGTGCAAGTGAGAAGAACCAAATAAATCTGATTTATATGATGAATGCTATAAGATGAAATGCATTAGGTATACAATTTTATAATTAGGTATTACCCTATATTACCTAATTTTATAATTATGTATATAATTTTTTGAAAATTTTACAAGTAACCCAACTTATATAAGTACTCAGTTTCATTCAACAAATACTTAAAAATCAGGTCTTGAAGAGGCAAAGAGGGCTGGGGATTTAGCTCAGTGGCACCGCACCTGCCTTGCAAGCACAAGGTCCTGAGTTCAATCCCTGGTACCAAAATAATAATAATCTTAAAGCGGCAAAGATGAAAGACAACAACCAAAACTGAACAAGACAGACGATGAACTGTCAGTTTTGTTACAGTTTGGATCTGCAATGTGCACCCTAAAACCCCACGAGTGAAAAGGGTTGGTTCCCAGCTTGGTAACACTGTCCTGGAAGGTGGTAAGAACTTCAAGATGGGAGCTGCAGGGGGCTTTGGCCACTGGGGGGCGCCCTCGGGAGAGGGTCTTTAGGCCCAGGGTCTCTCCCTCCCTCTCTACATCCTGACCAGGAAGTGAAGCGAAGTGAACACGTGGCTGTCTCTGGCTCTCTACCATCATGGGCCTGCATACCACAGGCCCACAGAAACAGGCCACTCAGTCATGGAGCGAAACCCACAAAGCCGGGAGACACAATAAACCCTCTTTATCAGGTGATTATTTTCATAGTCCTTACAGTAACAGAAAGCTAACCCATATTTTAACTGTGAGGAAAACAAGTAAAATATCATAAATCAGACAGTGGAGGGCAATGCTAGGCACACTTCAGAAATTAAAGTTATAAGTGATGAATCCGTTCTCCGTGTAATAGGGTACCACTATACGCAAGTGAACAATCTCATTTTTATTTTAGAAAATCTGGCAAAAAGTTTTCAAAATAAATGATAGGGCTGGGGATGTTGTATGGTTGCAACATGTAGACCCATCGCAACCCAACTGGACGGCCGGGTGTTTAGCTCAGTGGTTCTGCTGCCTGCCTCGCAAGTGCAAGGACCTGAGTTCGATGCCTGGTACCAAAAACAAAAAAACCCAACTGGAGGAAATCAGCCCTTATCACAAATATGCTCTAATAAGCAATTCATAAAGAGCCCTGCGCTCCCGTGCCAGCAGCACAGACAGGAGACCCAGGGAAGAGGGTGCTTGGGGAGCCTGTACCTGACCGCAGCTGCAGCACCAGCTGCTGCGGCTGGATCTGGGTGATGTCTTCCAGTTTCAGCTTCTCTGCGATTCCTTTGCTCCGGTTAGTCACATTTTTATTTTTCTTGATCGTTTTGGAGCCTCTGGGATTTTCTATGTCATCTGGATGGCAGCCCTTCTTCTTCAAGGCTTCTAAATCATCACACCGTGCAGAAGTAGGCATTCCTTCTTGTAAAAACGTCTAAGTGATACATAAAATACTGGTGTAAATAAAAAACGGGACAATCGAAAACTTTTAACATAATTGCACCGCAAATTTTTTTAAAAATTAGTTACATCTGATGTACTTCACTTCTGCTTTTTCATAAGTTGTTCCCTTCACCAAACTATAATAAGTGCGCTTGTTTAGAAACAAACAAAATCCATTTTAAGAAAGTAGTGTCTTTCCTGGCACTGGTCTACACCTATTTTTTTTTAATTATGCTATAAAAGTAATGTTCTTTTTTATTTATTTTTTTCCTCATTGAGTTTACTGGTACACTTTAGTTGTACAGTACAGTTACATTCGTCATTGGGCTCTTGTACCTTTACATGACAGGTCTTGGGTCTCATTTTTGCCCCTTGTGCCTGCCCTCCCTTCACCCCTCCTCCCTTCCCCATTTATAAATACTTTATTTCCATCTTTTCATTTTGTCATGTTTTTTCTCTTTTCTCTTATAAAAAATACACATATGTATTTTACGTTTCCCACGTTCAAATAAGTACATTTCTTCAATGAAATCTTTTACTCAGCATAGTTAACAGCTCCCAGTAATGTATAAACCCAACTATCAGTATTTTTTTATTCTCTGAGACAAATCCTTATGCTTGTGAGTGTGTGTGCGTGCATGTTTGTGTGTTCCCAGGGCCTGCACCCACAGCCTTCACACTGAGCTATATTCCCAGGCCCTTTTAGCCTTTTGTGACAGGGTCCTGCCAAATTGTTAAACTGCTCAAACTTGTGACCCTCCTGCCTCAGCCTCTTAGAATGCCAGGATTACAGATGTGTGCCACATGCATGGCAAATCCCCAATTCAGTGTTTTGAACACCTAATATTTAGGGAAAGCATATTAGTCAAAATAAATCTGAATTAAAGGTGGCCTTTTGTTTAAAAGGAGACAAGGAAATCTAATGAAGAGTAATAGGTATTCCTAAAATTTTTAAAAATTTTAATACTAATTAGTCTCACAAATGACCTTTTAAAAAACTTTTTATTTTAAAAAGCAATATAGGTGCCAGGGATTTAGATCAGTGGTTTTGCCATCTGCTTTGCAAGTACAAGGTTCCAAGTTCGATCCCTGCTACCAAAAAAAAAGTAATATAGTATGTAATTATATGACATGAGTCATGAATATATTTCCACATGGTAAATTTAGAAAAAAAGGTACTAATCATATATGAATGAATATTTGTAGCTTGGGATAAAATTTCCACTAATGACATAAACTCATTTTGCTATGCCTTGAACAACAAAATCAGAAATAAAGACTTCATCTGAATGAAAATTACCTTAGTGAAGCAAAACACTGTCACAACAAGTGTAAAGATTTAGGTAAAAGTATTTCATGAAATTTAAGAGTAAGGGGGAAAATGACGTTATAATGGTATTTGTTTATTCATGGTACTATATAACTTTATAGTAAATGAAGACATTTTTATAAATTAATTTTTAGGCAAATATCCTGATAACAAAAGCATTCATGAAATGACAGAAACAACTGGAAGGAAATACCAAGGGCCAGACAGTTCAAAGCTGCACTACATTATTTATTATCCAACTTAAACTTCTACCAAAGCACAAGATCCTAGTGAATTACACTTTTCTAAATACCAGCCAACCCAGGAAACGTATTTAAAACAGCCAAATAAAATTTCACTTAACATACTCCAAAAAAGTCTTTGATAATTAAAGAATTATGCCAAAAGGTAAAAGGCAGGGAATGGTGGTGCACGCCTGTGATCTCAGTACTTGGAAGGCTGAGGCAGGAGGATCACCCAAAGTTCGAGGCCATCCTGGGCGACATAGTGAGTTCAAGGCCAACCTGAACTACATAGCAAGACCCTGTCTCAAAAAACAAATTGTTATTGTGGAAAAGCCTCGTGGTGGTTATGGTGACAGTAGCTACTGCTTACTTAGACCTTTAAGTAAAACTATTCTAGTGAACTTGCTTCCACCGGAAGCAAGAGAGAAAGCAGGTAGGTATCATCCTCTTTTCCCAAGGAGAGCCCAGGGCATCTGGAAGTCAGCCTTGCCTAAACAACCTTGCAACACTCCTTCCTTCCTCCGTGTCCAGCTTGATCCCAGCAGAACAAAGTGCCTTTACAAAAAACTTAAAACAAAAACCTCTCAATTTAGCTCATGATCAGACCGGATGCCACCTGTGACATCCAACAGTCATTCCCGCAGTTAGAGATTTGCAACTGGGGCCTGGGTGCCTTGGTGAAGACCATCGATTAAAGCTCTCGCCCTCTGATATCCCCACGCTCTCACTGAAAATGTAGTAAGGCTCAAAAAACAAAAATTACCACTTTAGAAAGGGTACAGAGGTGTTGAAAGTGAATGAAATTTAGACCCTAACCTCAACAGGCTTATCTTAGGTACAAATCAACTCTCTGTTAGGGTAACCCTAAAGTTAACTAAGATTAATTTCCACCGCCCCCCCTCAGAAAAGGGGGGTTCTCTATAAACAGCCAGTCTAAATAACGTGGGGAATTTATAAGACAGAAATATAATATGTAGCCACACGGGGAACAGCCAGAGAGAAATAAGGGAGATTAATTTTGACACATCTCCATCGTTTCAACATTAATGATTTCTCTGACACTCAAGAGTTCAAAGCCTGGCGTGTATTTCAGACTCAGAGCCAGTCTCAGTGTGCACCACCTGCATCTCAAGTGTTCAGCGGTCCCAGGCCTGGTGAGGGCTGCGTTTAACAGCAGGGCCCTGGCCCATCCGTCCCACGTCACTCCACACACTGACCTCGGCGAGATCCTGAAGGACACAGAACTGGGCAGCGCGCGAGCAGCAGAGAATGGACCAGAAGCTCACGCGCGATCCCACTCACCGTATTCGTGCACCAGCCGCAGTTTGGCCCTGCCTGGATGCATTCCCCACACGACTTGGCATTTGCTTTCAAACACCTGTTCTTATCTATCAAGAAAAAGAAATAACAGACCGATTTATGTAACGTGTCAGAGAAAAAACTAATGGACAATCCGGATTCTAATGGCAGGTTAAGCAACACGTACAGAAATGATAAACCTGAATACTCTGTCCTAGTTACCGAGCTACACTAGGCCTACCCCAAAGAGATTGGCTTTTGATCACCTTGGCAGTGAAAGCTGTATCGTGGTTATCTTTCTTGTCTTTTGCATCAAAGACGAGGTACTGTTTGTTTGTTTGTTTGTTCAGGGTTTCTTTGGTATCGGGGATCGAACTCCGGCCCTTGCACTTGCGAGGCAGGCAGTGGAACCACTGAGCTAAATCCTTGGCCCAAGACTAGGTACTACTAATCTACTTACACATTTATCATTTTTTCAAAGGCATAACTTCAGAATCTATAATCTGAATGGTTACAAGCATCACAAGTGTCCTTATGATTAGGTAATGTGTTATTTCTTTCCATATGAGACATGGTAGCACGCCCACATCCCATAAGCATTTCTAGGGCTTTCTTTTTATTTTCAATATATGAAATAATTGAAAAACCCAGAGTCCATAATCACCCAATCCATTATCCATGAGTTTTTAGATTCTGTTTTCAAAATATGCCTTAAATTTCTCTCAATCCACCTAAGGACTAACACGCCTTTCATGTGGTAAACGTTAATTAACGACTATCTACAATGTATCTTTTGTTACTATAAACCTAACACATGCGTTATAAAGATGACTCAGAAAACACAGACGAGCAACAAGCAAACTGAGTCACCCATGATCTGTTCACTGAGATAACCACTGTTAAGAGCTTTCCATGTTTCTTTCTAGTCTCTCCTGTAGAGAGATAAGGAAACAGCAAGGAGAGCCGGGGATGTAGCTCTGGCAAGCACCAGGGCCTGAGTTCGATACATTACACAGACCTTAAACCTTTTCCCTGCTGTTCTAAAGGATGCCAACATTTTCCAAGACTTTTTCTCGAAAGAGCAAGAACATCTTCATCTGTTAGATAAGTAAGGGACAGTTTCTAGTCCTCTGGTCCACGCACTGACTCGATCTGCTTCTGAATGCGTCACCTGCCCTTGCTAACAGCCTCTCACGGCCAGAAGAGCCGTGCTGTCCTCAGCTTTCCCCCTTCATGTCCCCTTCTCGATTCACGCCACCCTGCAGCCAGCACCCTCCAGGAGGGCAGCCTGATCCTGACCAGGGCCTTGCAGTCCCTGCCTCAGGTCTTCCTGGGCCTCTTAACTGCTCAACTCGTGGTGCAAGACACTGAAATAAAAGATAACTAGGAAAAAAAATTTTTTTACCTGATTGGCCAAACACACAGCAAACTGAACTGAGCAGTCCAATCCAGAAAGCCAGCTGTAAATTCATCTGAAATACGAAATGTGCATTGTTACAATAAGGAAGTAAAAAATGCTTTAGACAAAAAATGTCCCACCCTCTCCAAGCTCGGTCCCCAGTCCTCTCCTCAGCCTGTCTGCCTCTCTTCTCACCTTTCACCACACCCCTGGAGCAACTTCTGCCCTAGATCCCCCAAATCCATGCTTGCTGTTCTCCAAATGGAGTGTTTCAATGGTTCACTAAACTCTAAAAGTCATCAGTTAAATGTGCTTTAAAAAGAATCACATCGAGCGTCCCCTGACACCAGCAAGCCAGGGAGGGTCTATGTCCCCTTGACTCGTGAGCTCTGTGGTGTCCAGGGGCTCTGGGGGCTGCACCAGCAGTACATCACGGTGCCTGACCCAGTCACCCCCGCCTACAACCCTTCCGTAGTGTCCCTGCCCTAACCCAGGTGTTTTACTGGATCTGTTGCTCCTTTTCAAGAACATCAGCTATGCATAGGATGAGCCACATATTCAGTTAATTCTCCACAATTTCTGATTCTCCGGAGCTACAAAGTAGGCCCCCAAAATAGCCTGAAACCTTGAGTGAGCCTTGAGTATCTCTCTCAGAATCCCTACAGATAAAATGAGGCAACATTCTGTTACTAAACAGACTAGGTATACAACTGTTTACTCAAAGTCTTCAGAGTTGCACAACTCATACCTTAGCAGATCTGTTCCAGACCTGTGTGCCTTGGCCACAAGCTCCTGGAGCTACTTCTAACTACTTCTAGCCCCTGGCAACATTTCCAGTCTAGCAATGAGTACCTGCCCCTCCCACAAGAATATGAAAAGAAGCAAATACATATCAAAAAAGTTCAGCTCTACCAGTTATCAAAAATAAAAAATTATGGTAATATAAGGTAAGCAATGAGGGGGGAAAAAGTCTTTTTAACCCAACAGAGAGAAACATATGCTCTCATACTGCTGAGAGAAACCAATTGGTAGCTGTCAATCTATATAAATTTCTGGAAAATAGTGTGTCATACAACATCATAAAAAAAGACACTTCCATTCCCTGACTTTGCAATTCAACTACAGGGAAGTCACCCTAAGGTGGATGAATAATTAAAGCTATAAGGAAATAATTAAAATGTAAAAGGTGATACACATGCACCCATGTTCAGCATGGTTCTCTCGCATATTTCTCATAGGCAAACCGTGGGGTAAAGGAATCCACTGCGTCAACTTTACGGACTATCAGTCATAAAAATAACAAAATGCAGCAACATTAAGGGACCTCCAGAATAATTCTGGAAGTGACGAGTACATTAACATGAGGAATGCCAGTTGTCAGGAAATCGACGTGTAAAATAACCAGAGACTTGGAGAAGACCCTTATATGACCACGAGGTTTCTGTTTATTTTTAAAAATTGTTATGCTGTTCTTCTCGGGGTGTTTTGTTGTTTTGTTTTGTTTTTGTTTTTGGTACCGGAGATTGAACTCGGGTCCCTGCGCTCAGGCCGTGGAGCCACTGAGCTAAATCCCCGGCCCTCCCTTTCTTAATGAAAATAGTTCTGCCTCAGCTTTACTATGTGAGTTTTCTCCTTGGGAAATTTCCTTGGCTCAGCAACAAGCCCAGGACTCCCTGGTGCAGACCCGCTCTGTCAGGGAGCCGGGAGAGGTGAGAGGCCCACCAGCCACACCGCGGGGAGCACCGAGCGCACAGGCCCGGGAAGGGGGTCTGGCCGGTTTCCACCCCAAGTGAGCAGGACGAATATTTGTCCCATATAAGGACTGCTGTGTCTTTCTCCAGGCCGCCCTAACCACCGCTGCACTGCCTGGAGAAAGCTTGCAAAATATCATACAACTCAGGGAATCCCACTGACGTGAAGCCAGGAGGCAACAAAATGTTTCCTAATACGCCGAGGCTTCCCTGCTTTTAAGATAGGAGTTCAGAGGCCACTGTCCTTTCCCTCGAGACTCGACAAGCAACCAAGACATCGGAAGCCCTCGGGCCTCTGGATGAGCTCCAAGCCCACGGCCAGCACAGCAAGGCTCAGCGTGGAGCAGCGGGGACAGGACGAAATGACACGAAGAAAATGAGTGGGAGGCAGCTGGGTGGACTGGAACTTGCCTGAGAAGGGAGGGGGAGAGAAAAGGGGAACCCAGAACCATCGCTTTTACTACAGAAGAGAAGGCGTGCAGAGCCTGTAAAGTGGGTGCCTGTGGGGAGGTGGGAAGCAGGGGGCCGAGGGCCGAGCTGACGAGGGGCGCACACGGGAAGGCGAGGCGACACCGGGGGGAAGGCTGGCTCCTGCAGCACGGCCGTACAGACCACCGGGCACTGCACCTCCCAGAGCTCCACGCAGTCCCCGCAGAGCAGGGGGAAGGAGCAACGCTGCTGCTCCTGAAACAGGCCAGGCCAGCTGCTGGGAGACGCGGAGGCTGGGTGCACGCACAGCTGCAAGCTCCTGAACATCTGTCTCCTGCACGGACTCCAAGCCCCGGGGAAACAGGGCCCTGGTGTCAGCGAGAGAACCTCGAAGAACCTGGCACAAAGTTACAGCTCAAACCTTTTGCCGAACTGTATTAAATTATGTGATACTTCTCTCTGACATTACTCAGGGACTCACAGAACAATTTCTCACAATTCCTCAATGTGCAGCCAGGCATGGTGGCACATGCCTTTAATTCCAGGACTCTGGAAGGCAGAGGCAGGAGGATCACCAGTTCAAGTCCAAGAGAGGGCAACTTGGTGACTCTAGGAGGTCTTGTCCCAAAATTTAAAAAACAACCCCCCCAAAATTTGGGGGTATAGCTAAGTGTAAAGACCCTAGGTTCAACCCTTGGTATATCCAGGGGGGAAAAATTAGTTATCTTCAGACCCTCTATAAATGGAAAAGTCGTTACAGATACTCTAGTGGGAAACTTTCAAGTCCTACATAAGCCAACCAAAGCTAGCTGTAAAATGCCTTGTGCTTATGACTGAAACCAAATCACTACAAAGCCAAATTTAATTTACAGACATTAAGATACTGAAATAATAACTGCTCAGTTATATGGTGACCATCCAGATAATCCAGATGTTTCTTATTAATTTGCACAAAAGCACAAACTCAAAAAAAGAACTGAAATTGCAGAGGCTTAATCTCACAGTGTCTGCGGGGTCCTCAGCCCCAGAAGCTGGGATCGCTGAATGCACCATGCAAGGCAGGTCTGGGCGAAGAGGGAAAAGGAACCGCGGTGCTAACAGGAAGTTCACAATAAAGAGGAGGAAAGGCCCAGGGACCAGGGGAGGGCGAGGAGAGAGAAGCGGGGAGGACGTGGGAGAGCCGGCCAGGGTGCTCGGCCACAGTACTGCTCGGCAGGGCCTGGCCCGGAGCTGGGAGGGGGTCTATCCCAGGGGTGACTCCAGAAAGAGGGGCACCGTGAGTACGGTGGGCCAAGGAAAAGGAAGGCGGTGCCTAGAAAGATGCTTCGGTTAACCAGTGGGTGCCTGGGGCTGGGGATCTCGCTGAGAACTTTGAGAAGCACGTGAGAAGGACCGGCAGGGTCGCAGGGAGAAGTGGCCTTTTCAGCTCCCGGAGCCAGGCGGGGATACAAGAGCCACTGACATGGTGATGGCAGAGGTGGAGACTGCTGGAGAGCGTGAGAGGTGCTCTCTGCGGTTGTCTCTGAACCTCCTCGGTGAGGCAAGAAGTGGGAAGGAAGGAAACACAAGGCTGGTGACCCACAGACAGCCACAGCCACACAGGATGACAAAGGCAAACATCGTGTGTGTCAGGGTGTGCTCTGGGGCAGGCACGGCTCTTACGCACCTACAGGATGCACGCAGCTGACCTGCCTGGCCACCTGTCATCACCTGCAAGTCGTGCCTGCGAGCGCTCTGTGCCTACCTCAGAGGCTCAGTGTAAGACACGAAGGGTGTCGGAGCGACTTCCCTCAGACACGGCACACACAACTCTGGCTCACATTTCAATCCACGGTCCTCTGGCTCCAAACCCCCAGGCTCTACTTACCTCCAAAAAAGCCGCAGCCACGAGCCCAGGAGGCTTTGGAGAGCTTCTAGAAATGACAGATCACAGAGGAGCTAAGGATGAAGAGAAAAGGGGTGGGGATGGACATCGGCAACAGAACAGGAAGCTCTGGGAAGGCAGGCAGCGCGCAGTTCACTTTATGCACTGCACAAAGACACAGAGACACAGCACAGAGTGAGTGCGCGGACTGCAAGGCCTGGGCGAAGACCAACGCGGGGATGCTGGCACCACGGGCTGGCCTGAATTTACTTCCTCCCTGCAGAGGGGACATCTGTGCACCTCAGAGGCTCCGAGATGTAAGTTAAGTCGCTACCCCTAGAATATCTGTAAAAACTCTAGCAGATAGTAAGGACTACGTAAGTGTTCCTTGTTACAGTTACTAATGAACACTAGTAACTCAGGAACAGCTGACTGAATAAGGTATGTTTGGGCATTTTTGCTTCTTTCCCTTGACATTTTAACCAGGAAACCCTGGATGGGTCCACATTAAGGAAAACACAAGATACAGAAGAAAGGAGAGAGTAAGAAACAGCATAACTACAAAAGGGGATGAATGCAGATTGCAGCCATCCCATTACTCACTTTGAGCTTAATAACTTCAATATCACTATGTAGTTATTACACTGTTTTCAGGCTTTATATTTAAGTAGGATTGTTCTATGTAATGTGCTTTCTATTAGATTCCTAACAATGGGTATGTTAAACAATCAAAGCAATAAAACCTTGGTGTTTGGGATTATCCTGTTAAACACAACACAGTTATGTCTAAAAACTAACATCACAGAACACCTCACAGAACACAATGGGGGGAGCATCACACAGCTAATAGAAATAAAGAAGATGGTTCCGCCGCATGCCTTGCAAGCACAAGGACCCCAGTTCAATCCCTGGTACCAAAAAAAATAAAAAAATAAAAAAAAAGAAATGAAGAGCTGGGTGTGGTAGCACGCCTGTGATCCCACCACTTGGAAGCCTGAGGCAGGAGAATCACCCTGAGTTCAAGGCCAG